TTTCTATTAAGGAAATATGGTTATGGAACCTAGGGAACTACCCTAGGATACATGTTTTTATTTAAAAAAAAAATCCATCGCCTAGGTGACTAGGCGACCCCCTGTATGTTGATTTTCTATTAAGGAAATATGGTTATGGAACCTAGGGAACTACCCTAGGATACATGTTTTTATTTAAAAAAAATCCATCGCCTAGGTGACTAGGCGACCCCCTGTCGCCTTGGCACCTTGAAAACTATGGTTACTGATAAAAAAAAGAATTGTATCGGAGAACCAATTCCAATGATAATGACAAGGTACTATTCTTCAAGGTTCTAAAAAGGCAGAGACTCAACTAGAGTATGTCACCCCATATTTGCCTTCTATTTAAAGCAAGCGGTGAAACTACACACAACCTAGTGATCTCCTATTCTTACGCCTCTAGTATTTGGGAGCACTTCTTTGCCAGTTTGCCCCCTTCAGTTACAGGTGGTCTCCTCCAGGGGATGCGGATAGCTTGTTTAATGAGAATTTTTTCTTTCCATCAAAGTAAAAGGGGAAGATTTTATGGAAATGTGTTATAGCTACTATCCGGTTTTTTTTATCATCGTTATAGCTACTATCCATTGGTCAGCTTGGAAGTTCATTGAACTGAATACCCATCTCTCTTTAGCCTTTGATGGTTGCAGCATTATTTTCAGGTCCAATAGGGAATAAGAGCTCAACAAGAGCTGGCTGTACTCCAATATCTAAGAATAGGGAAAGACATCAACTACAATCAGATTGGCAGGGGGGCTCAAAGGTTGTGGTGGCTGTGGGATGAATCAAAAGCAACACCATAGGGCCATAGCTGTATACACATATTACAAAAGAAATCAAGCATCTAGTGATAGACCCAAGAGCTACATTGATTGATCTAGGTTCAAAGATAATGCAACAGTATGGCATAAGGCTTGGCCAAACAAGGATTCAACAGAATGTAGCTGTATTGGAGAATCATTCCTAGAGGGAAGGTAATGATGAAAGCTAGAAAAGGAATAAACGTGGTTTAGGTAGCAAGGCTAGCCAAATACTTTGAGATGCTTTGCATACTCCTTGTATATAAATTATTATTTCACAAAATAAATTAATAGAAGTAGATTCAGCTACTGATCAAAAGAGAACTATTCTTCATGCTAACAATTCTTGCAGTGTAATAAAAATAAACAACAGTATATTTGAACTTTCTCCCAATCTGATGATAAAATGCCCATCCCTAGTCACCAGCCAAAGAAAGCTAGACTCACTAATGCCTACAAACCAAACTCATCATATGGTACCTTGAAAATGTTAAAAGGCATTTGTTTTTGAATACGGAAGCTGCGAACTTTGTCATGGTCCACAAGATCAAAATAAATATCCCTTCCAATCTGTTCTACAAGATCCTCATTTCGTGCAACCTATAGGCAATAAAGATCTGCTTTAGCACAAAGTGTCTAAAACACATCAAAACCATCATTTGTCAAAAGTTAAAATAAAGAAAGAATAGTTTGGAAGCCATAAACCTTTATAATGGTATAAAGGTGTGCCTCTGCTTTTTCCTTTTTCTTGTGCTCCTTTTCTTCTTGTTCCTTCTTCAACCTTACCTGAAATATGATATCAAATATCCTCTGTCAAAATCATAAGATAACAGCTAACTGATAAATTTAATCTGTCTTATATATATAAGATATCTTACCCTAAGGTGTTCAGCAATATCTTTCTCATCCACATTACAAATAATTTTCTCTTTGTCACTTTCACGTATATAAACAAGCATGTATGCATTAGAATACTTGGTAAATTTAAATGGAGTGTTGTTGAAACCAGGATTTGTTTGTGGTAACTGTTGAGAAAAAGAGAAAACAACTGAAATGAGTTAAAATAGAAGGACAGTCAAGGTTACCAATCAGAAACAGACAATTCTTTATCATGACAAGGACGAATTCTTATAGACAAAAAGTACATGATATATATTGATTACAGATACATCACCTCTTCTTCACCACCATATTGCTCCTCTAGGGCCCTCTTCATATCTTCTTTTGTTACCCGTTCATCATCAAACTTGAACCTGAAAAGAACAATTTCCTAATAATTATCAAGATTTTACACCCGAAAAGAAAACTAACACAATCATAGTGATGCAGGACCACATAGATAGATGGAAGACCCCAGATATTGAAAATAGGATACAAAATATACAAGTTAGAATATATAAGGAAATAAACGAAAGTCAATAACAAAGACCACATTAAATGGATGGCAGGACAACATAAAACCATGCATAATAATGAAAATATGCAATCAATGTTCAAGCACAATAGCTGCTTTAAATATGTACAATCCTCAGGTTGACAACACAAAGAGAAATACTAAACAACAAGAGTCAAAGAAATAATTGGATTCCCCAAATCAAGTGCAGAAAAAACAAATTGACTAAAAAAAAGGTTAGTTTGAGTTGGTCCATGAGAAACCAATACTCTATAACAAAGCCCTTGTGGGCCAATTTAACACTGCAACAACCACTAGAGGTGAGGAGTGATCCCACTAGGACTCAAGCCAAACAAATAGCTTTAAACATCATATGCAGTCAAAGATCGCCCATACAGTGCTTCTATGCAGGTACCCTAAACTGGGCACCCTATTATTAATTTATTACCAACTTAAAGATAAACAGCTGAAGCATTGCCCAAAGATGATAACAGCCAATAGAAATTCTAAACTTGAAAAAAAAAAGTTTCTAACATAAAAGAAGCCGCAAACTCCAGCTATATGATACAAACCACTGATCTGAGAGGGTAGGCCTGATAAAAGCATAGTAATGTCCACCATGCACCCCACCACTGTGAACCAAAACACTGCAAACAAACCAAAATAAGAACATAAATACAACACAGAGAAGGAGCCAAACACGAATTTTGCTGGCAAAAGTTTTGTATGCTTTTTTTTATTGTTAAGATTCCATATACTTCACTTATCCTAAAAAAAATTATAAATTTAACCAGTCCACCACAACCAAAAACAGTATTGAAAGGAGAAGTGTTATATAGGTACCTGTGAAGCGTGTAAAGATTCCGAACCCTCCGATCAGCTTCAGGAGACAAGTATTTCCCATTCTCTCTATCCAGGTCTAGTTGCAGAGGGAACTCATAACGGTCATTTATCTAAGCGAAGGGGGAAGATGCAAAAATTAATAAAAAATTTTCCAGCAAAGAGTACTAAGTATAGAAAATTTTAAATTTTGAAACCATGCAGGGAATAGACTATTCCAGAGCCCAAAATACAGGAAACAATATTGTTTAACCAAAATGACATGAGAAAAACAAACCATAGCCACTTCATACAAGTAGAAATAAAATATGACATATGCTAAATTAGGAATAGAAATTGACTAAAAACTTCATCATACAATTCAGCAGAAGAATTGGCAGGACTGCCAACCCAATAACACAACCAAAAATTACATAAAAAATGAAATACACAACATTACAAGATGAAATTATCTTAAATACCATTAAGAGATGTGGAATTTATGACATCAGAAAGAATAAAAGATTATGAAAACACTTATAGGTATTCAAAGGAGAAAGAGAAAGAGAAGAGACATCATTTGTGATAAAACAATGCAGAAAACCATGTTCTTGGGCTTCCTTTTTTCACTATCATGCAGGCAATTATTCCAATGCTCACAAACAAAGTAAGCATTTACAACACTCTATGAGAATGAAAGAAAATAGAAATTCCTATCTCAACTAAAAGAACAGTTGATTTTTACTCATGTTACCACTAATGCATTTAAGGCAAAGGTAATCTATCAAAAAATAGATTTTCTGGTCAACTGGTAAAAAGACCTCCTGAGTCCTAAGTGTCATTTAACCACTTAGCAAAAAAAGTGTCATTTAACCTTAGTTTCTTAGCTTCTACTATAAATTTTAAAATCAAAGAAAATGTAAGCAATTCTGATAGACCATCCACAATAACCTATCACATAAACAAAAATTAAGATTTAACTTCATGTCTGAAAAGAATTTCAAGCTGGCTCAAAGTGATGACCATGTCCATTAGTCAAACAAATAATACCACTGCTCCACATACCTACAAATATTGTCACCAACTTATATTATAATATTCATCTTGTGTTCTCGACATGGTGCCACCGTGCCAGTAATTTTTACTGGGAACCATGTTTATTCCAAGAATGTTTTGTGTTGATACCCATGAAAATGGAAATATATCATGAATATAAAAGGAAATATGCCAACATTTTGTGCTGAAAGAATTGAGGGATAAGAGACCAGACAGGCAACAAGACTATCAAAGACAAGATTATTAGACACTACAATTGCCACTTTTTGTCTACTTTTACGCTTAATACATAAGAAGAGGAAGCTCATTGCTCTATGCTGGCAAGCTCTTAAATCTTTATAAGTCAATGAAGCCTCTTGTTTCCCATTAAAAACAGAAGAGGAAAATGAAACTAATATTTACGAACAGTGAAACAATGGATATAACATATAAAAACAAGAATATAGTTAAAGAATAACAAAACAACACAAGTAGTTGAACTAACCTTTACCATAGTGTCCCGCATGAAATCATATTCAAACCGTTTAAGCTGAAGTTGAAGGACAGGAGGGAAGTCAATGAACAGGACGCCCTTCCTAGCATCCTAAAAAAAAAGTAGCAGCATTCCTTTCAATGATCATCTTCAAACAACAAGCTCTTTCTTTTTAGTTTAAGATGAACAGAAATCAATAGCAAAAAAGATGTCAAACTTATATTAAGATTTTATCGGACTCAAGCATTTAATTGGATTGATTCAGGTGACTACAAGCTGGGTTACTCAAATCATCATCCCTATTCCCTACCCAAGCCTTACCCCAAACATATGGGGTTGGCTTCCATTCTGTTTAAACCATATCCATTTTCAAATTATGAGCGCTCAAATCAAGCAAGGCATCTCAAATCACACAGGTAAATGTCTGTGTATAATATATATAAAGAATTTTTTATCAGCAAAAGAATTTATTATATTAGAAAAAAGTTATGAGTTTAGTACAATGTTGAAATATTCCAACCAAACCCAAGTATCAAGATTTACATTTTTGCCCAGAATAATTGATGTCTGTTACAACCCCCCCTGCTGATACACCTACCATCCCATTCGCAGTTCTTCTAAGCCAGGTATAAGTGGTGTTGAGTTCTCTTGATAGGCAACCTATGCCCCTGAAAAGTGTGCCTGTAACTCCACGGTGCTGAGTTCATTTGTTTTGTCAAGGATATGACCAACTTTTAATTTCCTTCAACTTATATCTCTCGGAAGCCTATCTGTTTTGCTAGTCTTAGTCCTTGCAACAATGCCAAAGTTTCAGCTCTAACCGAGTCACCAGTACCAGTTGGTCCTGAACACATAGCCACCACCATGCCCCAAGTGGTTCTTGAACATACCTCCTATGCCTGCCCGCCCTTGATTACCCATAGCCCAGCCGTCAAAATTCAGTTTCATTATGCAAAGTGAGAGCAGATTTAACCAACTGGTTTAGGGAGATTGATGGTGTAACTGATTCAGGCAAGGTAGAAAGGAAGGCTAGTGTAGTGAGTGGAGCATTTCTATTGATTTAGCAAACCAGACAAAGCTTGTGCCTTAGAGAAGAGGCCCGTCACAACATACAGCAATGAGAAAGAGAAGGTGATTCTCTCAATACTACATACACACAGATAGAGAGATGTATCATATCATATCATACAATACATATATGCACACATTAATATGCATATACAAGGATATATGTTTACAAATATGTGCTCGTTGTGGGTGAATATGTGAATTCAATGTTTTATACATGACTTAATCATTTAATGTAATAATGATGTTATTTTTTAGTTTGTGAGTCCCATGTGAATTTACAATCTTTTTAACAACTGTGTACTACATTTTACCTCTAGTGCATTACGGCAGTAAAAAGGTCGCACCTAAGTGCTGCTATTGTATCAAATACCACCTTATAATGTGTGAAAAGATGATTGAAGGGGGAGGATGATGATGCAAGAGAGGGGAAACTGGAGTTAAAATTAAAGACTGAGTGACACAATATGAAATGAATTGGATCGTGTTTTCTATACCAAGAACCACAGTTTAGTTATATTGAACAACAATTCATATGTATCACAGCCCCCATAGGTGGTTCTAGGCACCGAAACACCCTTCCCCAACAATAAAAAAGGGTATGTGACTGCATAATGAAAAAATAAATCAATAGAGTTCTATACAGCCTACACATGAATTGCTCTGCAGGCAGTCTTTATACCTGTAACCCATGTTGTTCAGCATGATACTTGTTATCACCYTCAAGACGTTCAACTTCTACATACTTGTCAAAAGAAGCATAAACATCTTTACAGCCTTTGACATCAAGCTGAAGATCTGTCATTTACATGCCGAGAGTTCAGCACAGAAGGACATTGATGTAACAGCAAAAGATTTAGACAATCCACATTGAAATTAAAACAATATACCATAAAATGACTCCTTCCTTGTAGACTTGTAATCTACATTGATGCATTCAATGTAGTTCATATGGTGCCCTTCAAATAACTGTTGTATTGTACCCTCTACAACAGTCCCCTGGACAAACATAACAAATACCATGACCAAAATAATCTCAACAGTCAGATAAAACTTTGAAAGGGAAAAAATGATCACTAGAAACCACCTTCATTTTGTCTTCAAGCTTTTCACACAAAACCCTATTAAGTTCCTGCACATCATGTTGCATGAAAGAATCATATGTGTCCCATCCAAAAGATTTGGTAAGCTCCTTCGTTGCAACACTGTTGTCACTATACTGGAGCTTATAAAATAAGCTCTGAAGAGCCAGTGGGATGCTTCCCGATGGCATATCATTCTCAGTTGTTGGCATATGATACACAGCCTGAAACAAAATTAGTCGCCAAAAAATCCTTTTAAATAGGGAAGAGAATTTATTATCAAGTAGATAAAAAGAATCTTAACATGCATTCTAACCTTTCTGAAGTAAGGAATATGGTACAAAGTCTGGAGCAGAGAATTCATGTAACAGGTTGCTCCTTGGTTCTTAAGTCCAACATAACCCGTTTCCTTTTTTGAATCATATGTCCAATAATCCACAACCCTACGGACTGCAACCTCAGCTTCAACTAYACATGTATCATTCACAAGATACCCCCTACTTGGGTCATATAGTTCACTAAGAGGCATGAACGATGTGAAACCCCAATCACTCTCGCGTGCATTGAATTGGTGTTGTGTATCTGCATAATGCAAGTCAGCTTGAGTCGTTATCAACCTAGGAGGTGCATTCAATACTCAATTCCCATATGTTTCTTACTAATAAACAATGATGAAGCCAATTCCTTTTACAGGTGAAAAGAAGCCTGAGCGACTAAATGACTGCAAATTTTATTCCATAGAGTTGAGCGCCTCCAATGCAAAATGGAAGTTCCTTTTCTTATTGAAGGTAATAAAAAAACAAAAAGTTCCAGTTTCGCCAAAATTATGGACCAAATTCATAAAGGTATTATATATCTCATCAGCAATGTGATAAGAGACTGTGTAATTGCTAAAATGGCAAGTACTTATTACAAGAGTGCAGATAAAGAAATCCGCATCTAAACATACATATGTATCATTACCCAAGTAAATGATAAAAAATGTATGTGGCTATGTGATTGCTGAGTTCACATCAAAAATCTGGTATTGATCTCAAGTATGCCATAAGATGTTCTAGGAAATACAAGATTATGTGACTAAAGAGGAAAAATAAATATCTTAAAATAAAAATTTATCCCACTGCTTACAAATATAAAGATGACAAAAAGGGTACCTTTTCTGACTGTATACTTATTGTGTATTTGATTAATCACCGCCAGGCTGAACTGTGCATATCTACTCCACCCATATGGTAAACTTGCAGAATCAGCAACATCTAGGTACATAGACAAATGGTCTACGTTGTTCCCCTTGGGAAAAATAAGCACACGCCTGCCAAAAACAATGCAAGACCCAAAAGCATGATTAACTCTAGCATATCAAGTACTGTCAGGTATTAAAACAAATCTAATAGGGGTGGGAGATCCACGTACCATTTATAACCACCAACGATGAAAATATCAGAATAGTGCTTCTTGGTGTTCAACCTAGAAAAGTTCTCAATAGTCCACGTAAATCTCGACGACGGAGGATCCTCCACTGGCTGGTTCTCCACCGTACTAGCAGTGTCTGCTTGTACTACTACTAATAAGTAAAAGGAAATTCAAAAAAAAAATAATCAAAACCCTAACAACTCCCATCATCTAGAAGCTCGCAAACAGTGTAACTGACAGGCAAATAAAAACCTAATTTTGGATCATTCCCACCAAATCCAACTGACCGCGAACAGGAGATTCAAAACTCAAACAAAGCAATTGGCAGAATAGGTTGATTCAAGCACGGAAACATTACCTTCCATTGGCTGTGGACCATCTGCAAAATCCGAATGCGGGACCAACATCTCGTCGTCCTCTTGCTGCAAAACGAAGCACGAATCAAAGCTCGGATCCAGTAAAACCAAACCCCGTCGATTCAATCAAAACCCTAGAAATCGAACATCACCGCAATGGAATTGCGAAATTGTGGTTGATTCAGACCCTCTAAATCGAACTCAAACCCTAGGCCACCAAAATCGATATAAATAGCAGAAACCAGAATAACCCCCGAGAGCAAAGGAGCGAAACAGCGATTGAATCAAAATAGAAAAATAAACCATTTTTTCAATAAATAGATACAGAGAGCGATAGAGAAAGGGAGAGAGAGAGAGAGAGAGAGATAAAGAAAAAGATTTGGTGTTTTACATCTAACGGCGGGGGAGTCATCATAGTCATGGATGGCAATAGATGAGTCCTCCAATCGACGAATCTGCGAATGGTGGAGGGCGACGACCTGCGAGAAAATAAACAGAGACGGAGAGAGACAGAGACAGAGGGAGGGAGAGAGAAGTAGACGAAGGAGAGAGAAAGAGGCGAACGGGTTCTGCAGAGACACCACCACCAACGTTAAGGAAAAAAGACCTTGTGTTTTATTTCGAGAGAGGGTATTTTCGGTATTTAGAAAAAGTGAACATTTCCAGTCTCAGAGAGACTATTGTATATACTTAACACTTCCACTCGTACGAGGAGTTCCCTCTAGAGAGTCTAGACCCCTACAGGTCCCCACATTACTATAGATCCGACCGACGGTCTATTGTCTTTCCTACCGTGTACACGAAGCCAACGAGCCCCGATCCGCTGCTCGCTCCACTATGCACCACTTGCTACATACCCAATCACAAGTGAACACGTCAATATATACAGACAAGTAGCGTATTTGTATGAAAAGTTGACGTGTTCACTTGTGATTGGTTTACGTAGCATATGGTTCACAGTATTGCAAATAGCAGACCTCGAGTGGAAAGCCACTACAACCCGGGCTACAAATGTACTTAGGTTGGGTTCAGTTGGGTGCAAGTCTAGGTTATGTTCGAAAAGTATGAACATGATTATTAGAAACTTGACCTGTTCATGGGCCGGGTGGCCTGACAGACCGGCCCGGCCTGGCCCGACTCCCGGACGGGCTTGAACAGGATTTTTGGCCCGCGAGCTTAACCTCGGGCCAAAAAGCCCAGCCCGCATAAAATTCGAGTCGGGCTCGGGCTTTGCTAAAATAGCCCGGCCCGGCCCGATTTATAGTTAAGTGTAAGTAAATCTGGCCCGACCTATAGTTAAACCTAAGTAAAAACCCTATGTGATGTCTATTTGAATAAATTTTTTGATTTGAGGTCATTGATTCACTTGTAGACCCATTGTTCATTTAAATAGGGGAAAAAAACATTTAAATTAAAATAAAAAATGTCAGAAAATTTTGAATTTCTTTTATTAGGTCGGGCTTCGGGCTTTTCATCAGGGCCAGGCTCGGGCCCAAGTTGTAGGCCCGTTGGTCGGGCCGGGCTCGGGCTCGGGCCTAACAGTTTTCTGTTAATAAAGAGTCAAAGCCCGGCCCATGAACAGGTCTGTTAGAGACTAGGGTTAGGCCTGTGACGAGATTTGCTCCTCACAGGCATATCTACCGTGCATTGAGAACATCTCCCGTAAATAATAACTAATAAATAAGAGAGATATTCCCAATGCTGATAAGATGTGTGTGTGAGGCACCAAGTGTAAAGAGCATATCTGGTCTCGTTAGGCCTTGACCAGCCCAATCCAATTTCAACTTGACTTGGCTTCATTTCATATTCATATGTATTAGTTTAATGGAAAAACTTTAGCTGTTGGATGCCAATAATCTATGTTGTTGAGAATATTTTTACTTTGGTTGTTGGGGCCAATAGTCTATCTTGTTAGAGAATATTTTTGGGAATGCCACGTTACCATAAAGTGGGGTAAAATAATAATTGCCCCTATTTTTTTTTAATCATAAGCATAGACATGGGCATAAATTGATGAACATGTCTAGTCTAAAAATGCTCTCAACAACATAGGTTGTTCAGTCCCAACTGCTAAAGTTAACTCTAGTTTGATGGCATGTGCAAGTAAAAGGTAAAGATATAAGTTTGCATTATATAATCAAAACCAACACATTGATATTTTAAAAACTAACCTATAAATGAAACCATTTTGGCCACCAATTTGTGGGTCAACAATTCGACTATCTAAGTTGAATAGTTCAAATGTTTGAATAGTTAAAGCATGACATGTATATGTCGTTTTACCTTTGGATTAGAAATAAATAAAGAAAGAAGAAAAGAGAAATAGATAGAGGCAATGATAACCAAATTTGCTCTTTATAGAGCATGCCTCACACCAACTTCATTAGCACATTACAATCGTGCATTGGAAATATTTACCATGAATGATATTATAAAAGTGTAGGAGATATTTTCGATGTGCAATTGCAATTGTAGAGGAAGCAGCAACGATGACAATGATGGTGACCTGCATTAACAACAACGATGGCGACAGCAATAGTAGAGATCTTATTCAGATCTATTTCTTATATATCAAAGATATCTCAAACCCCTCTTTGATTTCTTTATGTTCGATCTCTCTCCCCTCTCCTTTTGGGTTGTTTTTAATTTTTTGAAAACTTTAAATATTTTTTTATTAAACTGCAAACTATTGTTCAGGTCAGATAGTCTAGTGGTCTAATCATCTGAATAACGATTTGTAGCCCAATTTAACATTTTTTTTTGGAAAATAACAATTTAGGACTAAAACGGAACCAATATCCTAGCCAATTTTTGAATTAAATAGTCTGACTATTCCAGTTAACAACAATTTAAAAACTATGATGCAAGTATCCAATTTATATAGTATAAATAACATGTATGCAAAATATGCATTTTGTGTATATGTGCATGTAGTTATATACAATGTGCCAATTGGCTAGTTGGTATTAGTTGTACACTTGGGATGAAATCTTGCCTACACCAAGGTTGAGGGGGTTTTGGGTTTGGATTTGGGGGATGGATTACCCCCATAGTATAGCCCCGTGCAACCAAAATAAAGAAATAAAAAAAAGAAGTGAATGTTTACCAAAACAAATGTGTATATGCAACTATGCATAACAAATATATGTATGAATGCATACTTTTTCTTCAAGAATTTATATATTTATGTATACTACCAAAAGGGCATTTTTTTCACATGCATATTTAATGTGACAAAATGCAATTACTAAAGGGTATGCCACCCAAGACTCCCAATGAAATAAAGAACATAATGAGCATTTCTTATGTCTCAACCATAGGGAGCCTCATGTATGCTATGTTGTGTATCCGTCCTAACATAGCTCAGGTTGTAAATGTCGTGAGCATATATTTGTCAAATCTAAGATTGAAGCATTGGACTGCTATAAATAACATATTTAAATACCTTTGAATGACAAAAGATTATTGCCTTGTCTTTTGGTTGGGTATACTAATGTCAATTTTCAACCAAACCTAAATGACAGAAACTCTTCATCTAGATTTATCTTTCTACTAGGGTTAGGAGTTATTAGCTAGAAGAGTTGTAAGAAAGGGTAGGGTTGTTCATAACAAGATCCAAACCAACCAACCTGGTTCGATCCAACCTGAGTTGGCCGGTTTTTCTTCAGCACCGATCGGTTTTGGGTTACCAAAAAACATAAACCTATGGTTCGGTTCAGTTACCAAGCCGAACCAACTTAGATATATTATATATATAATATATTTCAAATATTATATATATATATATGATATGTTATATATATTTCAACTTTATTTCATAAATATACATATTATATATAAATTTTATAATATATAAAATATCAATTTTAATCCATCAAATCATTTTTAATTTTCAGGCATCTAGCCTTTGCTTTTCTTAGACTTGAATCCTTTATCGTTCACATCGAGAGAATCATTCACAAAACCAACCCAAACCGATTTAAACCGACTAGGTCAGTTTTACTTAGTATTGGGTTGGTTTTGGTTTCATTTCTAGGTAAACTGACCAGGTCGGGTTGGTTGGAAAAACGCCAGTAAACCGACCCAACCCGACCCATTAACAGCCCTAAAAAAGGGTTTATGGAGGATTCCACAATAAAAGTTGAAATCATCACCACCATCTCATCTTCCATCCCCTTATTATGTGACAACACATGGGCTATAGCTCAAGCTAAGAGCTTAAAGAGCAATCAAAGTCAAAGTACATTGAGCGCAAGTATTACATTACCTAAGAAATCATAACATATGAAAATATTGAGATTTAAAAGGTGCATCAATAGAGAATGTGTCGAATCCATTGCCTAAGCCACTTACATAGAAAAGTGTTTGAGAAACATGTGGATAATATAGAATTATAACTTATGTCAAACTGGATTTGAATACAAATAAGAGATGTTAAATAGTGTATATACCATTATCTCCAATTCATGTAATGTACATATTTTTGTTATAAATAAAAGAGCATATATTTCACGTGTCATTAGGTTGTTTTGCTAAACAATCTTAGTTTATATGAGTATTATGTATGGGGCTACATAGGTGCCATAATATGGACTTAAATCTTTACAAATAGTGGATAAACTTGGAGAAATATATCCTAACAAAGTTAACTAGTAGAGGAGCCCTGCTTCACAGGGGCTGGAATGGAATTGTAATATTGCTATTTGTTATATTAAAAAAAACAATAGTTTCTTAATAAGAAGCTTGCAATTACAAGTACTCAAGTCTTGAAACTCATATAAAGACTTAAAAGAGATCATCATGTGCTTGTTTTTTAAATATTGCTTCAGCAAAGCGTCTCATATAAAAGAACACGATCATATAGTGATAGTTCTGAGTTCTACTTCATAGTTGTCCTTTGTTTTACACCAAGAACTCTCAGTTGACCTAAACGGTAGGACCGCTCGGCTCGGGAACCGTCCAAGCAACTGGTTCCGTTTTACCCTAAACCTGGTCCCTGGCTAAAAATCATTGAATTAGTCAACGATCCATTGACTCGGGTAGTTTAACCATCAACCCACTCAATGGTTTTGGCCATTTTTTATTTTTTTTAATTTTTGTTGTCAAAACTGGCCATCTGTTCAAACTGGATGGTCAAAATGTCAACTTGGAAACTGGTGACCAAAATGGTTCTGTTTCCGGGTCATCTTTCATAGGTGCCAAAAATTAAACGAAATAACTTTATAGTCGTAATCATGGGAAGGGTGAAAATTGCAAGGGAAATAATTAAACAAAATAACTTTGTAGGTGTCAATAATTAAATGAAATAATTTTGTAGTCATTTTTCCAAAGTGACCTTAAACACATAAAAAAACTGGCGGTAAATCCATCAAATTGGAAAAATGAAGGAAAAAAACCAAAAAATTGAGTCCAAAGTTCCACTTTGAGATGGAACTAAACATACATGCAATCAAAGAAAGAGACAAAGAAGATCGTTTTGTAAGAAAATAAAACAGAAAGTTGTACAAGAAAACCCAAAGA